GCGGGCATTATACGCATTCGCCAGGGAGCCTTGCCGAATCCATAAATCATCGGCGCCCCTGGTTACATGGATTGCTCCCCCTTGGGCTATTCGCCCCTGTCGTCGCCTCCGATTGAAGGCTTTGGCAGTTCTCACCTGTTTGGGTTCCCGGCCGCCCACGACTGCCCAAGAGGCCTCCACCACGATAGCTCCAAACCAGCCCATGGGGCCCCCAAAGGGGGCCTCAAATCGGTCCACGAGGGCCGCCCAAGAGCCTCCCAAGAGGGCCCCAAGGCGGCCCTGAAGCGCTCCAATAGGGCGCCAGGACGGCCCAGAGAGGCTCCCGAGGCGGCCTCCAAAGGCGTCAGACGGGCCAAGAGCCCACTGAGACTGCTCAAGAGGCCCCAAGAGGCACACAAGAGGCACCAGGAAACCCCCAAGAGGCCCCTAAGAGGACCCCAGCAGGCTCCCCAGAGGTCCCCAGAGAGACCCCAAATGGCCCTCTCCTCCTTGTCTTCATTCTCCCTCCTCCTCCTCCTCCTCCTCCTCCTCATCCCTACAGCGCGGAAGTAGATGAGGTCGAATTCACGACCCGCCTCAATTCGGACCGCTTGCTGAACTCGAGAGGGGCGTGAACTCGACCTCCCCCCTGCCGCGTGGACAAAGACGAGGTCCAATTCACGACGAGTTCCAGTTCGATCCGTCGTCGGAATTGCGCTGCCCCTACACTCAATCCCCATCCTGCTGCGCTGTTGCACAGGCACTGTGGCGGGGGTGGCCGCCGGCAACTGGATAGCATTCAATTAAAGAGTCCCCCCTTTTGGGCACGTTCCCTGTTTCTTACCAAGGAAATCTTATCAAACAAATCGTCGGGATCCAACCTGTGTCAACCGGTTTACAACAACAACAACGGCTCCCGCCTGATATTACCACGCATGTTCCTCACATGTTACTCTTACTCAAGAGTCGCGAACTCGCCTGGGATTCCCTTGCAAATTCTGCAGACGCCGCGCCCTCGACGTCTAGGAATCGCGCTCTCGAACCAAAAAACATCGTCGCAATTTACTCAGGAGTTGTGCTCTCGCATGAGGCTTCATCACACTTGACAAAATTCGCATCAATGCCCCGCCCACCCGTTTTGGGCCCGTCTGCCCGCTAGGGTCCGCCCGTCAATATACGCCCGCCCGACCCGCCCGTCAGCGTCCGCCCGCCCGACCTGCCCGTTAGGGTCTGCCGCTTCAGTTGCTTGGAAGCCGCGCGATCGCTGTAATGTACCGCCCGCCCGACCCGCCCATCAGGGCCAACCCGCCCGACTCGCCCCCTGCCAACCCTCCGGCTCCTATTTCATCCTCATGTGCCATGTACCCCTCGTGCCCCCTCCCCCTCGTTTCCACCTCCCTTCCCCGCTGTCTCCCTTTTCTCTTCCCCTCCCTTTCCAATCTCAGGCGCCGCGACCATTATACAGTGACAGGCAAAGAAGCTGTATCACCCAAAGTGGGCACGAACGAACACGAAGGAGGCGTGTATCGAGGGCTTGGGGGCATACATGTTTGAAGGGGCCCCAGGACACACAAATAAATACACACAAATAAAAACAGTCCCCATATTTTCTCATATTTTCTAGGTTTCTGTCTTCCCGCCCAATTCCCATATTTCCCCATATTTTCTTGGGGAATCGAGGATTAATTGTCTGTGTGTTTCTTTCCCTCCTGAGATTTGGCGCGCGGTCGCCAATTCCATGGATGGGGGAGGGGCCCTCCCCAAACTGCGGCCGGTGCCGCCTCGCTCGGCGGCGGATATCCGCGATTTCCCCTGGAAACGAGACCCGTCGCTGATCCACGCCCCCTCGATCCATGGTTGCGATCGCCTGACACCCGCGACCCACCCGCCACCCACTCGCGATCCGCCAACGACCCGCCCGCGACCCGCCTGCGACCCACCCGGGTTGCGTCAGCGAGTAAAGCGGCGTCTGCGGCGGGCTCGCCGTGCAGCGTGAGAAGAGCAGCGCCCGCGGTGGGCTTCCTCAGAACTCGAGTCGGGCCTCGCAGACTGCCGACGGCACACCCGCCCGCCCCCTCGCCCTTGTCCGCAACGTGGCCGTGGCCGTGTGTATGGGCGAGAGAGAGAGAGAAGAAAAACAGAGAAAGAGAGAGAGAGAGGGGGAGAGAGAGAGAGAGAGAGGGAGAGGGATCGAGAAAGGGAGAGAGAGAGAGAGAGAAAGAGAGAAAACAAATAGAGGGAGAGAGCGACAGAAAGATATGATAACAGCTGAAAGGCGCGCATCTTCTTTCAGAGTGGCCCCGCATCGCAAGTCGCAACCTCTCACAGAGGAGCGGCAACGCAAGCCGCCGACATGCCTATTCGCTGTCCTTTCTAGTTCCGAGCAGTGTTGCGGGGAGGCTTGCCAGTGTTTGGCAGCCTCGTCTAATGCTGAATATGAGGCATGGCATCCAAGGCGAGGGCACCAGACGATAGAGGACATGACACGCCAGAGCAAGAGGGCACAAGGAATGATTAACGCATGAAGCTCTGGGTGGCGGCAAACGAAGTGGCCCTCAACGGCAGAAACACCTGGTGTTTTTCGTCTTGGCCCCGCCAACCCTTTCTCTCAAAATCTCTCCTCGAACTCTCCCTCGTTATCCCCCCCTCTTCATCTCCCCTTCTGTCTTCCCTTTCCAACCAATTTCCCCCCGTCTCTCTCTCTCTCTCTAGCCTGGGTTCGAGGACACCTGTGTTCGAGCACAGCCGCAGGTGCAGTCCCCACCGAGGCTCCACTAAAGTTCTCCTGGGCAGGCTTCTCTGGTGCGGAGGAGGGGAAGAGAGCAGGGAAAGGAGGAGGAGGAGGAGGAGGAGGAGGAGGAGGAAGAGCAGGAGGAGAGAGGAGGAGGATGAGGAGGAGGAGGAGGAGGAGGAGGAGGAGGAGGAGGCGGAGAGGAGAGGCACGCCGGGTGCGTTCGCGGAATATCTATCGCCCTACCCCTCCCACCCGTCCTTTCCCATTGCGCTGTTTTGTTATGTCCGCCGACGCGTGTCACAGCGGACCTAGAACTCCAAAGGTCGGGTCGGGCGAAAGGGGGGGATAGCAAATGGGGGGTTTGAGAATCAGCTCACGTAGCTAATTTTCCTGGCGCTGGAGGCGGCTATGTATCGAGGAATGGGCCCCTCGGTGAGGCCGAAACCAGCTGCATGCAGCAGATTTCGTAACCCCCCCTTTCCCAATCCCCCCCTTTCGTTCGGCCCGAAAAGGGGACCTCACTGGACCTGCCCGGCCGGCCCACGCGGCGAGGGGCTGGGCGCTGGAAGGCCCACCTGTGAGTAGGGGCTCGCGGCGCGTGGCCCAGCTGGGCAAGCGGTCCCGACGCGGACCTGGCCTCAGTGGGACCTCGCCGTGGTATGCGCAATCAGGAGGAAGGAGCTGCGCACATTGGAGGAGGAGGAGGAGGAGGAGGAGGAGGAGGAGGAGGAGGAGGAGGTGGCGGAGGAGGAGGAGGAGGAGGAGGAGGAGGAGGAGGAGGAGGACGGGGAGGAGGAGGAGAAGGAGAGAGGAGCTGCGCACATTGGAGGAGGAGGAGGAGGAGGAGGAGGAGGAGGAGGTGGCGGATGGCTAGGAGGATAAGCTGGGGGAAGAGGAGGAGGAGGGAGGAGGACGTGGAGGAACGGCAGCAGCAAGAGCTCGCGTGGAAGGAGCGGGAGGTTCAGGAAGACCAGGGGACGGCGGAGGGGAAAACTGACGGAAAAGGCAACGACGGAACGAGGAAAAAGGGAAGTGATGGAAAGGGATCAACGACGGCAACTAGGAGAAGGGAAACGATGGAAAGGGAAATGACAGAGGCGACAACGATGGAAGAGGGATCAAGAGAATGGGCCCGCGCTGGGGCGGGAGCGCCATTCTGAGCGACGGGCGCAGGGCACCGATCCGACAGTGATGCTCGCGCTGTCGCGGAAACACCAATTCTGAAAGACCGAACACAATCGGATTGCAAACAATCGATTCCAATGAGGACAATTAATCTCTTTACGAGATGTCCTCAAATACATTTTTCAAAAGAAGGAAAAGGAAAGGGCAAAGGAAAGATTTTAATCGTTCTCATAAGACACACCGCCAGAAAACAAATATTGTTGTCCAGTCCTGTGCAGAAACAATCCTTGCGCGGAGAGGGCGGGGCATCTCCGGGCCAGGGTCGGGGGAGAGGGAGGAGAGCGCCGGTCGGAAGAATGGGGGTAGAAACAAGAAGTGGGAGGGCGCTGGAAGTAGATTGGGCCTCCGCCCGCCCCCTGAACAGGAGGGAAAGAGGGGAAACCGTTCGACCCTTGAAACAGGAAGGCGCCTAAAACAGATGGGGATCGGAGAATCCAGAAATCTCCACTTTCAACGATCGGTGAGCAGTTTTCGAGTATTGTAGGGAAGAGAAAGGGGCCGCCTTCCCTCCCTTGTTTCCTGCCTCGTCGTCGTTCCGCCGCCCTCCCCCTCCCCCCACTCCCCTCCCCCTTCCCCTCTCGGGCGTTCCTTAATGGGGGGGTGATCAATGGGGGGGGGAAACGCGCACACCTTCCGGGCCCCAGGGGGGCCCCTTTACCTGCGCGACGTAATGCGCTCGACCATTCGCCCCTGGAGCCCGCGCGGAAGAACAGGAAAACCTGGAAATCTGGAACATTATCAATATCAGTACTCCAGATTTCGTAATAAAGGGAGGGGGGTCTCATTTCGGGGGGGGGTTCTTCCAGGCTATCTTGGAGGGCCTGGGGGGTCTGGGGACGATGTTTTGGAGGGTTCTCCCACGGGGGAGGTCTGAAATGGCTTGTCTTGGAGGGTCCAGACCCCCTCCCTTTTATTACGAAATCTGGAATACTTCCTGCTCCTCTGACTTGGGGCACCTCCAGGGCACCAGAGGTGCCCCTTTCGTCACCCCCGCGTTCGTCGCCCCCCCTATGGCGCAGCGCCCCTCCGCGCCACGCCTCCCGCCCCGCCGGAGGCATCCGTGCCGCGCTGCGTCTACCCCAGTGCCGCGCCTGCCCAGCGGTCACCTCTCTGCCTCACGGGGGGGGGGGGGCGGCGCTGAGAGCAATCCTTACTACACTCGACCAGGATAGCAAGGCTGCGCGGCAAGGATGCAAGGATACCGAGGGGGCAAGAATGCAAGGGTAGCCTTGGACCGTTGCCCCATCCCTACTATCATGGTTGACTGTACTCCGAGATACGTCGGCAGTGAGGCATACGGAGAGAACGTGCTGTCGACTTCGAGCGACATAGAGCAGATGGACACGGGAGGGTTGCGGATTTGTGGTGAGGGGGGGGGGGGCAGGAGGAAGAGGACGAGGGAGAGGACCAGGGGGCAGAGGAGCGCGGCAGGGGAAAAGGGAACGGCGACAGCAGGAGAGACTGGGGACATAAAATAAGAGGAAATAAGGGAGTTGACGTGACGCGACTACTTAGAGATCATCCAAACTAGAAGAACAAATCATTTCAACATGTTAAAAGCTTCAGGACGTCTGCGCGGATTGCTGGGTTGGCGCTGATACCCAAGTGCGCCATGGACGGCACGCTATGGGGCGCCGCCAAATGGGGAGTCTAGCGCCGACCCAAGAAATCCGTGGTGTTCGGACGCATATGTTTATGCCTTCCTTGGAAGGCCAGAGCTTGCCCCGGACCCCACATCTCAGACGAGATGACCTTCCCCCACCGTCCTGTGGTGTTGAACCCTCGCTTTGAGTCAGCAACACCCCCCATCCTCACTCCTCCTCCCCCCCACCCCTCCCCCCTGCCCCTGCTTTCCGCGTGCCCCTCCCTGCACACCGCTCGCACGCCTTTCGTGGCCCCAGAGGAGCTCCACCAAGGCCCACATGGCAGGGCTCGCAGGCCGGACCACGCCCGGTCGGGCACACCCCTCGCGAGTCTCGTGGCCCCCCAAAAGGCTTCCACAAAAGGGCGCACATGGCATGCCTTGCATGCCGGACCACGCCGCGTTGGCACACACCCCTCACGCGCCTCGCAGCTCCCACAGAAGGTCCACATGGCGGGGCTCGTATGCCTAGCCTCTCTGGCCCACTCCTCCAACAGAATTCGGGCCCCCCTAAGATCTCCAAAAGATAGCTATCAGGCAAGGCTCGTGTGCCTGACCACGCCCATTCTGACACACCCCTTTATACGCGTCGTGGCCCCATAGGAGCTGCACAGAAGGCCTAAATGGCAGGTCTCGTATGCTTGACCTCTCCCAACCTGGCACGCCCCTCAAACGCTTCGTGGCCCCATAGGAACACCACAGAAGACCCATTCGGCAGGGCTCGTAAGCCTGATCACGTCCATCTTGGCATACCCCTCACACGCTGCGTGGCCCCATAGGAACACCACAGAAGGGCCAACTTGCAGGGCACGACCATTCTGGCACCCCCCTGTCACGGTTCGTGGCCCCATAGGAGCTCCACAGAGGGGCTAACTGGCAGGGCTCGTATGCCTGACCATGTCCATTCTGGCAAACCCATTAAACGTTTCGTGCCCCCACACTATACTCGCCGACTATGGCACGATGGCGGAGAACCTGGCCGAAACCTTTTTCGGGGGAAATGAATCGCGTGACGCCGCCTGGCTGGAAGCCGAACCAATTCTGGCACAACAAAAAAATGCAGTCGTAGTCCGCGTGCAGGTGAAGCCCTTGTCGCTGTGGACTTTGCAGAATGCACGAGGTGTGGCGACAAGGGCGACACCTGCGCGCGAACTGCCATTTGTTCGGCGCGCGGAGCCGGCATGTGCCGCATGGGCTGCACGGGGTGCGCAAACCGCAAGGGCCGCACTATCCAGATGGGTCATCTCAGCAGCATGCGCCGTGTGGGATGCGGGGGGGCGCAGAACCCCCCTGGAAAGCGGCCCCCGTTGCGAGTCGCCCCCGGGAGGGGGAGGGGGGTCTCATTTCGGGGGGGGGTTCTTCCAGGCTATCTTGGAGGGCCTGGGGGGTCTGGGGACGATGTTTTGGAGGGTTCTCCCACGGGGGAGGTCTGAAATGGCTTGTCTTGGAGGGTCCAGACCCCCTCCCTTTTATTACGAAATCTGGAGTACCCATCGGTCGGAAGAAGCAACTAGAAGCATGAGGATAGGGAGGCGTTGGAAGCAGATTTGGGTCTCCGCCCGCCCCCCTGAACAGGAGGGAAGAGGGGAGCCCCTCGACCATCGACGCAGGAAGGCGCCTGATGCAGATCCGAGCCCGGGAGCCCAATGATACCTGCTGCCAGCGACCGATGGGCATCTTCTGCTCTCGGCACGCCCCGCGGTGAACGCTCGACTGCAGCCGCAGCAGCCTGTGGCGACGGAGCGCTCCGCGGCGGCGCTCCCCACTGGGGGGCCCGAGCGGCACGTCTGCGGCGCCGCGAGGGCTGCGGAACGGGCACGTGCAGCACCCCCCCCGGCGGCTCCGGCGTGCCTCCCGGTGCTGCGCACGGGGCAGCTGTGAAAGTGCGTGGTCTGAGCGTGGTGGGTCTCGGCGGGAGCGAGTCTGAGTGCGGGTGGGTCCGAGTGCGAAGGAGTCTGCACGCGATTGGATCCGGGCATGCGCAAGTCTGACTATGCCCGGGCCAGGGTGGCGGTGGAACTGAGTGCGTGTGGTCTGAGGAAGGGCGGCATACATGTGAGCGCGAGCGAGTCTGAGTGTGAATAAGCTGTGCGTGAACACGCTGCGTGCGTGATCCTGCGTGTCATCAGTCTGGGTCTGCGTCGAAATGAATGTGAGCACGGGGCAGCAGGCAAGTTCTAGGCGCGGACGGGCCAATGCTCCACTCCCTGGCGGCTCGTCCCTGGGGCACCAAGCTGTACCCGCTACATCGCGGTCCGTCGCAACCAACAAATCTGACCCGCTCAAGAAGAAGAGTCTGATCCGCAAAGCGCGCCAACCGCTCGAGACGTCCCCACACTGTGGGCACGAACGGGCAAGAGTTCTGCTCTCCGGCGGCTCCTCCTCGGGGCGCCCGAGTGCCGCACCCGCTGCGTCGCGGGGACGGCGAGGCTCTCTCTCGAGAGAGGAGCCTGTGCCGCACGACGAGAAAACCGCCCGGGGCATCCCCGCAACCGGGGCGCGAGGGGTCGAGCGTGCTGCTCCCCGGCGGCTCCTCCTGGGGGTGCCCGAGCGACCCTTGCTATGCCGCGGCGAGCATGATCCTTCAACATAGAAGTTGGCGGCGAGCGAGGGGGGGAAGTGAGAAGGAGAAGGCCTTCTCAGAAGGCGGCGGGACTTCTCAGAAGCCCTCGCGCCTTCTGAGAAGTTTTTTCTGTCTTCGGGGAAGGCTTAGACAACTTCTCGGAAGGCTGGGGGACTTCCGAGCCTTCTGAGGAGGCCCGCCTCTTCTCACTTCCCCCCCTCGCTCGCCGCCGAAAACGACCTGGAGCACGCCCATGCTCTGACCACGAAGGAACCCGTGTCCGACCCCCTGGCGGCTGTTCCTAACATGTTAAGACGCTCGCGGGCAGGTGCCCCACCCCCTGGCCGCTCCCCCTTGTAGCGCCCAGGTGCTGTGACTGCTAAGCTGCATCGCGACCACCACGCGGCCCTGCAAAGAGACGCGCCGACATCCTTAAAACAAGCGAGCCGCTGGATGCATCCCCACAATCTGGGCACGAACGGGTAAGTGTCCAACCCCTGGCGGCTCCCCCTTGTGTTGCCAACGCGCTATGCCTGCCACATCGTTGTGATTCTGACCGTGAGATGAAAAGGAGAGGGGTGAGGAGGCAGAGGCGCGACGCAGATAACGAGAATCTAAAAAATAAGCCATGGGAAATCATATTCGCAACATTCTCTACGAGACGCGCAACTGCCTGCACAAGGAACCATTATGCCCGTCGGACCCTTGCTGCGCGCGCGTTCGAGGGAAGCTGGTATCAAACTGGCCCAATCTGCTGAATACCGCTGCGATTCGTGAACCATGCGTTTGATTCGCCCATGCTGTCCGGCGTCCCCATTTGAATAAAAAACGCTTTCGACTGAGACATCCTCACGATTCGCTCATGAGCTGGCCACGGCGTGCTGGTGACGCTGGCGGTATGTTGCCCGCGCCGAGGCGAGAACGCCGTTTGGACAAACTTTCGGTCATTGTACCGAGGCTCGGCTGGACCTTTGTGGGCCCTGGAAACGACAAAGCCGTTTTTTTACCGGTTCCGTTTTGCCGTTTTTTTGCCGGTTCCGACGCCGTTTTTTTACCGGTTCCGTCGCCGTTGTTTGACCGGTTCCGGCTCTGGTTCCAATCCTGGAGCCGTCTTTTTGCCGTTTCTGGTCGCCGCTTTTTTGCCGTCTCCATTTTCAATTGATTTTTTTCTTGGAAACGGTGAAAAAACGGCCCTGCCGTTTCTGGGGCCCACAAAGCCCTACAGGGGGATTTTCGACGACAAAGTACCCCAAAATAATCAAAAAAATAGTCCAAAAATCGTCCAGGGACTATTTTTTGAATAGTTGTTGGCCTTTGGGGGCATTCTTGGGGTATTTGTTTAATTTTTCGTCGAAAATCCCCCTGTATGGTGGACAGGCCCGACCGAAGGGTAAAAGCATCTCTTGGGGCCCACAAAGTGCTGGACGCATGGGAGCTCCGCATAAAAGCCTCCAATGGCAGGGCTCGTGTGGCCGCGGCTGCCTGCCCACGCCCACTCTGAGCCTGCAGTGCAGGCCTGTCCACAAGAAAATTTCCGCAAACAAACAAAAAACCAACCCTGAGACCCCAGGATTGGGCGCCCGAGTTATCCGGGGTAACTCTGGTCCGGGGTAACTCGGGTTTGGGTTCCCGAGAAAGGAACCCGAGCTAGCCCTGACCCGAGTTACCCCTGATGATTTTGGGGCTCTGGGCGCCCGAGTTATTCGGGGTAACTCGGGTCCGGGGTAAATCGGGTTCGGAATCCCGAAAAACGAACCCGAGTTAGCCCTGACCCGAGTTACCCCTGATGATTCGGGGCTCTGACAGGCCGTCCATTGATTTTTGCTGTGGGAGCGTCGCGCCTTCCACAGCACAACCACCGAAACCCGAGAAACCCAAGGGCACCCTGGAGGCCAGCAGGGTGCTCCTTGGCGTGGGCCCCCCCCTGTATCCCTCCCCTCGTCGTGCGCAGCAACTCTGGCCTGATCGCGGCCGCAGGCCCTGGAGCTGACCACATCCTTGCAAAGGCCAGAAGCCACAAAAGAGAGGTACTCCAGATTTCGTAATAAAAGGGAGGGGGTCTGGACCCTCCAAGACAAGCCATTTCAGACCTCCCCCGTGGGAGAACCCTCCAAAAAATCGTCCCCAGACCCCCCCAGGCCCTCCAAGATAGCCTGGAAGAGACCCCCCCCGAAATGAGACCCCCCTCCCTTTATTACGAAATCTGGAGTACCCTCGATCGAGGGTCGAGGATCCAGGACCGAGGGTCGAGGATCGATCGAGGGTCATTGATCGAGGATCGAGGATCGATCGAGGATCGAGGATCGAGGATCGATCGAGGGGTCGAGGTCGAGGGTCGAGGATCGCTCGAGGGTCGAGGATCGAGGGTCAACAGAAAAGGGGTCCCCGATACCTCTAGCGCCGGCGCCGCCTGCCCCCGGCAGCCTGCGCTGAGAGAGGGAACGAGAAGCAGAGAGGCGATGGCGAACGCGCAGGAGGCTGCTTCCTGTACAGTAGGGGCCCTTCCACAGGGAACCTTCCACAAGAAACCCAACCCTGAGACCCCAGGACGTCCTTTGATGTTTGGTGTGGGAGCGTCGCGCTCTGCACAGCAAAACAATCGAAACCCGAGAAACCCGGGCACCCCGGGGGTTGCAGGGTGCTTCTTGGCATGGGCCCCCACTGTAGACTGCGACAAATTTGCTTGCACGGCATTTGCTAACCTGAAGGGGCCCTGGGACACACAAAGAAATACACACAAATAACAGGATTCCCCATATTTTCCCATATTTTCTGGGTGTTTGTCTTCCCCCCCACTTCCCATATTTCCCCATATTGTCGGGGGAATCGAAGATTCATGGTGTCTGTGTTTTTCCCTCCTGATAACCCCTCCACCGCCTTTGCCAACTACGCTGGGCCGGGAAGAGGCGCGCAAGTGCGTCCCGACTTGCGTGGATCGGGGATCTTCTGACCCAGGTCAATCCAGACCCGGGTCAGCCAGAAACCAAAAACTGCAGTGCAGGAAAAAACAACTGCAACGCAGGTCTTCGCAAACCCGGGTCAGCCGATATGCGCGGACGCCTCGCGGCCACGAGCGGCTCGCTGACCCGGGTCAGCCAGAGGGGGTCTGCGCAGGATCCTGCAAGATCTGGCGCTCTGGCTGACCCCCGTCTGCATTGACCCCCGTCTCAAGGCTCCCGAGTGGAGTCCAGGCTTCCTCTCCGGCCTCGCCGCGCCGACAGGCCTTCCGTGCGAGCAACAACTCTTGCCGGAGCCTTGAGGAGCAGCACTGCCGCCGGGCGGGGGAACACGGCCGGCGCTGGCCGGAGGGAGGCCACGGCCTCACCCCCCCCCCTTAGCGCCGATCCGCCCCCCCCCCCCCCCTAGCGCCGATCAGCCCCCCCTAGCGCCGATCAGCCCCCCCCTAGCGCCGATCAGCCCCCCCTTAGCGCCGATCCGCCCCCCCCCCTTCACTCGGGGAGGGGGAAACACACAGACACAATGGACCGCCGATCCCCAGGGAAATATGGGCGAGTGTGGGAAGTGGGGGGAAGACGAAAATCCAGAAGATATGCAAACATATGGGGAATCCTGGGACTTGTGAATTCTATATATATATATATATATATTATATATATATCTATATAATATATGTGTGTATGTGTCTCTTGGCCCCTTCATTCGCGCCCCCACCTGCCGCGAGCCCGTCACGAGCACGGCCGGTTTCTGCTCCCCGCGCAGGTGCAGCAGGCACCTGTGCCTGGCGCGCGCCTTCCGCCGCTTCCGCCACTTCCGTTGTCGCCGCCGCCGCAGCCGCCG